CAAACCTCCTTCATGGTTGATTTTCTTTGTTTTAAGTTAATGAATTATTTCAATAATTAAAGTAAGTTTGAGAACTGGGCTTACCCCTCCTCTGTTGCCATGGGTACTTCAACAGGCTCCTCTGGATAAATAAATAAATATTAGTATAGATAAATACAATGTAAATAATTAATAGGTAAATAAATGAATAGATGAATTAACAGAAAGGAAGAGAGGAAACAATTAGACGAGGGAGTGAAGGAAGAAAGAGAGAGAAAAGGAGGGATAAGGGTAGGTAAATAGCAGGAGAAGGAGAGGAAAGAGGGACGGAAGTAAGGTAGGCAAGGAGGGAGGGACATGGGGAAGGAGGGAGGTAGGGAGGTAGAGAGGAAGGAAGGGAGGAAGGGAGGCAAGGAGGGAGGAGGTAAAGAGGGAGGAAGAAAGGTAGGCAGAGAGGTAGGTAGGGAGGTAGGGAGAAAGGGAGGATAGCAGGGAGGCAGGAAGGTAGTGGGGTAGACAGAGAGGAAGGGAGGCAGGGAGGGAAGGATGAAAGGATGGAAAGAAAGGAGGGAGCAAGGGAGTGTGGGATGGATGGAGGGAAGGAGGGGAAGGGAGAGAAAAAGAGAATATGGGAGGGGAAGGAGGAATGGGTATCCAAGGCGACTAAATGCAAGGAACCAAATCATAAAAGAAAGAAAACTGGTGATTTAATGTTAGTTCATGTACCTGTCTTCTCAACAGGCTTTTCATCATCCTTCTTTTCTTCATCTCCCTTTTCTTCTTCTGCCTGGGGTACCTCCTGGATCATTTCTGATCTACGATTACCTACAGCAAATGTAGATGCAATTAACATGAACACACATCGGCTGTTGCCAACTTTACAAGCTTTTGGCAAAACTCAAACCTGTTTGTACTGAAAACAAATGAAAGAACCAGTTGACCATTGCGACAAATTTATCACTTCTTTCACTCAAAACTCACTTAAATCAAATGACTTGGTTTTGTGGAAAAGGATTCAAACGATAACAATGGCTCACAAAAAAACTGCTGTGAGACGTTTTACTAAACATAAAATTGCATTTTTCTCAAGGAGAAGATTTAAAGAAAATGTAGCTGATGAACAAACTGCACTGTCAGGCCATCAAAAATAAAAATCTTAACCATTCAATAAACTACGTCAAGAATCTGGGATTCACGCATTATTTGGAAAAGTGTTTCACCCAAATTTATAGAGCTTTGTATGGAGATATCATGTTGGTGCCCCTCGGTGGCCATAAAGTGACAGAAACATCTGTCATTCAGTTTTGCTATTGAAACGAAAAATTATTACTCTGGAGCTCCCACACATTGAAATTAATACTTCTTCTAGGGCAAAAACTGTTCAGTTAGCAAAAAGTTGCGCGACAACTCTTTTGACCTATGTGAGAGCCTTCTCATGCAGCCATTTTAATGTCACGCAATGCATGAACTTGGAAATTCAAATGTGCTCTATACAAAATGAGGAACCCTGTCCAATGTAAACATTGCAAAACGTCAAGTTGTTAGAGGGTCTTACATCTCATAAAACTTAACCTTCTGAAGGAGTGGTAATTTTTAGCTTTGTAAAATGATGATGTCACATGAAAACCGGCAATTGTTGAGATTGAAACTTGACTTACCATCAAGGACTTTAGTTGAAAAGCGCTTGCTTGAAACTCGCTCAAAGTCTGGCTGACTGCGTAGGATCTCCTGACTGTGACGAGCCTGGTGCTGAGTTCGACCACTGTGGAGAAGCAAGTAAAATCAATCAATCAATCAATCAATCAATCAATCAATCAATCAATCAACCAGTAAATGTACGAGTCAGTCAGTCAATCAATCTCCATCTACAGTGTAGTGGAGGTAAAATACAGCATCACATTTAGTTCAATGGTAGGAACTCTGCTCCAAAGATAATATACATGTACACATACATGTAAGCTACAGCAAGAAAGAAAAACATGAAAAAAATTTAAACACTGTGCAACACATGATACACCTGTTATGGTTTGAATTAACTTTTGGTCAAAGATAATAATTGCTTCAACCCAGTTTTGTTTTTATTTTCCTCTGAATTCGAAAAAAAAAATTGTAAGACAATTAAAAATAAAGGTCAAACTGACTGCAAAATTTAAACAAAACATAAGTATCAATTTACCACTCCCTACATGCACTAATGAATATCAGGTGTATACATCTTCATTCTCATTAAAAAAGGATAATGTGCACTCAGTGAGTTTTATTCATACATGTAGCCATTCCTTGTTCACTATAAATGGGAGGCCACGATCAGAAGCACATTGATTGATGAGAATGAAAAATACGTACGTGCTACAAAATTGAAGGATTTTGGAATTTACTCAGTAGGTAATGTAGTGTACTCTCTTGTCAAAAGCACATAAAGTAAACTGTATGGGTTTATCAAGATTACATGTACATGTATGAATCATCAATTAGTTTCCCAACAGACCTGTATCTAAACTTGGAACCAAGTTTGATGAATCCCACATCTTTAGGGGGCAGATCAGCCTGCGACAATCTAAAAAATGAGTGGTTTTCCACTCCGACTTTCCACAGTCTTTTCGTGGCCCTCAAACTACCAAGCTTGAAGCTCAACACTGTTGCAACATAGTAATCACTCTGTAGTGTAGTATTGTAAAGAAAGAAATACAATGTGATATTATTAGTAAGCAAGAAAATAAAATGTATGAGACAGGCAATAAAAATAATATATACATGAGTTTTATTCAAAAGTAAAATCTACATGTAGCAATTACTGTAAGTACAAAGACATTTATTAAAGACAAAATTATTACGGCAAGTTTACCTCACTTGCTGGTCTGATTGTTAATGTAAACTTCTTCTTTTTGAAGGCAATTTTCACAATCTTGGGCCTGTTACAAAATCACAAGATACACACATTAAAATTTTAGTTCCTCAACTTTGGTCAAAAGCAACTTCTGCCTAATGTACCATAAGGGGTTATAGCCACAGAATACATAAAAAAAAAACTTTCAAACATGGCATGTTAACATACAGAGTCTAATAATTTCCCAAACATAATAATAAATTATGCATGATACCTTATACTGTACAAGTATAATCATACACAAAAACAAAATAAGAAAGATGCATTGCATTTTTTTTTCAAATTCCAGAAAATCAAGAGTGACCAAATATCACTAAAAAAATGTTTCCAGTAATAAGATCGTTGACTCTGCCAATAAAAAGACAAGACAATTATGGGTATAACTGACTTCCCTTTGCAAAGAAAAGCATGGAGTACTGTACTACACATGCACAACCATGCACTTTCAATTATTTTGCCATTTTTGGCTGCAGGACATGTACATAATTGTACAAGTAAAGCTGAGTCAGTCAATAATGTTTAACTTGTCTGTTAAAAACAGGGCTGTCATTAACTTTTGCATCAACTGAAGCATTGATCTTCACACCTGTAACAAACTTGTTACCTTTTACTTGAATTATATCAACTATAGGCCAGTTCATCCGTAACATCAAGGGCCCATCAAACATACTCAGCTGCAGCAGGTGGTATGGGTTATGGCCCTTAGTGACAGCTTGGAAAAAGCCCTCCATTTCAAAGCCTGCATGATTTCCCTACTTACCAAACAAATTTGTTAATCAGTCGGTTGTTGTGGAAGATGTGAATACCCCATGCAGACACACCAATAATCACAGGCTGCCCTTCTGCATCCTGAAACACATTTGGAACAATCACATTAGGAGCGTTTCCTTCTGGTAGAAGTATATTATTTATTTGCTGCCTACAGTTACCAGCCACGAAAAAGGGGAAATTTTTGAATATTTCCTTTACAAGTTGTCACAGAAACTCAAAAGAAGCTACTAACACTGTAATTAAGGTTTATCCATACATCCCCTTTGATAAAATTAAATCCTATTAAAGAACATCTTTCATCAAAAATTGCAACAACTCAAAAACAGCATAAAAGAATTAAAATTAATTTATAACTAAGTACTGTAAGTATAATGAGGGTAAAGTCAGCATGCAAGCCAAGGGGTCCATCAAACTGGAGCTTATCCCGGTTTCTGTGGCATGAAGCGACTAGGAGTATTTCTGCTCCCCCCTGAATGGGATGCTAGTCCATTGCAAGGTTACCCTTAGCATTAAGTTTGCCAGTACCCATTTATACAACTGGGTGGAGAGAGGCACTGTGATAGTGTCTTGCCCAAGAACACAACACAGCATCCCCAGTCAGAGCTCAAACCTGGACCGCTTGATCCGGAGCTGAGCACACTGGCCATGAGGCCACCATGCCTCCATGAATTTGATAACTACTGCCATAATTTTCTTTTGACTACACTTGTAGATATTAAATTTCTTGACATTAAATTTCTTTGCGACTTTTTCCATTTTCTGTGGTTCATATAACTCTTTTCTTAAAATCAATAGCCCACCTTTACCAAAGTTACTTTCAGTCTTCTGGCATTACAGTGTGAATAACTTTCTCTTTTAAGGACCCATTAACCGATTTATGTGTGCACTTGCGTGCGTTGCTAAGGAGGTGAAATTCCACTTCTGCTTACTTACGTCAGCCTCAGCGCAGAAAATAAAAAAATCAATAACTTCCAAATTTGCTCCCATTTTAGATGTTTTTCTTTGGGTTTCACAAAATGCAAAGTAAAAAAAGTACAAGCAAAGACAAAATAAGAAAAACAAGAGCAATAGAAGGAGAAAAACAAACTCCATGTGGCTTTGTTTTATCTTACCAAAGTGTGCTGGTAGTGTAAATTGCGCACNTGAAGCTTGGTTCACACTTTTGAGGCACAATGCACATGTAAATACAAGCACAAGCACAAGGACGTTCACAGTAGCAGCATACGCATGCACAGTGAGAGTTACATTGCTGGAGAAACAAGACAGTGATTAGTTGAATTCTTGGGCTTAGCTTGTACTTATTTCCTGTCAGTTCGCACTTGTGAAATAAACATAACACTAGCGAATTAAGCATACGTGTAAGCAAAAGAAAAAGGATAATTTTTCTTTTTTTTGTGCTTATACTCTTATACTTGTGATTATGATTGCACTCAAGTTTGTGCTTATCTCATGAGTGCGAACCAGTCTTAAAGGAGCCCAGTTACAGTTTGCACATTTTGAAAAGTTTAGCCTAAATTTTTCAAATTTGTTGTTTGCAATCCGTGTCAATCTTCGCCATCCTTGACCATCCTTGTTCCTTTATGGTTTATTATTATCTCTTTGATGTTTATCTATCTTAGTAAACTATTATTTTCAAGTTTCCTTCCATTTAAAGGAGATTTTGTATGCAGCCAAAAAAAGACAAAACACCGTGACTGAGCTCCTTTAAGTTCCTTTAACTCATTGGCACAAAATGAAATGTTACACACCACAGCTTGATGGAGGTCAACTCCATACAGGGGAAGCTTTCTGGCATTATCCAAATACTGCAACTCAGCATCCTCTGGTGTCATTCCCCTAAAGAGTAGGAATTGAATGTTAGTCAGTTTTATCTAATGTGTTGAATTATTCTTGCATTTGGATTGGTTCTTAGTTATGATCTGATTGCAGAGAAAGATATGAAGACATGATTGATCATTGCATCTATATGTACACAACTTAAGCAGTTGTGAAATTAAGCTTGAAAAAAATTCTTCATATCTTTCTCCGCAGTTCAAATATACAATCTTTCATATATTCACTTGTATTCTTCACCATCTATGGCCTGTATAATATGAACTCACAATGTGACCAGCTCCCACTTGGCTTGAGAGCTCAGTTGGTAGAGCACTGTATCAGTATCACAGAGGTCACGGGTTCATATCCCATTCAAGTCTGATTTTTTTTCTGGCTTAATTTCACAATTGCTTAAGTTGTGCATACAACTGTGATGACCAATCATGTTTTCATATATCTCTCTACAGTTCAAATATATGATCTTTCACATATTCACTTGTAAAGAGATAAAATAATACCACATTTCCTTCAAATGTCTAATAATTTCAGATACTATTACAATCCACTCTAATCTGCCATTAACCCATTCACACATACATGAACAGCTGAAAAGAACAGTCACTGTCATGTGCCTGATTTGAAATTGCAATTACTGGGAGAAGCTGGATGTGCAGGTACAGTGTAACATAAAATACTGATCACTACCACACTGCAAAATTAAAAGGGTGCAAAAGGGTTGATATATTCATTTCATAAATGTACAGTGTCAATAGATATTCAACTAGCATTATAGTCTATAGTGTATGCTGTACAGGTACAGAGAGAAAGCCACAGAGCTAATGTACTTCATTGCAAATCTGACAGGGCCTGGTAACAGTGTGTTTACATATACAGTTGAACTTCGGGTTGCGACCACTTCTCCTAAGTGACCAGTTTTCCAAAATACCAAAGGTTTCCAAGTTAACTGACCATGACCACTTTTAGAGCTAAACGTTTGAAATTTTCTCTTGTCTTTAACCTCCCACAAGTGACCACTTGACAGATAATAGAGCGGAAATTGGATAATAAGGCGTTGAAGTATATCAGAAGCATACCATGATACTCTGAATAAAATACCACTGGGAAAAGTTTTGGGAAAATTTTGGGAAGATTAAGTTTTTTTGTGGCTGCTAAATGCTAATATGGGTTTAGATGGGCACTGATGCATGGAGTTACCATATGCTAGTGAGGCAACAATTTGACCCAAGAGGGTTAGATAAGCTCTCGTAAGCCACTACCTCCCGTAAGCAACCAGCTAAGCTTGGCATTTTGGGTGGTCGCTTATGGGAGCTGGAGGTTTGACTGTACAGTATGTGTTGTTTGTGGTCATGGACAGTGAAATCTTTTGGTTCTTGTGACATTGAAGTTTAGTTAATTTTGACAAAATTCAGATGTACAGTATTCCCTTTGCTTAGTACAGTGTGTAGTTCCAAAAAATATCCACACCTCCCTCCTAGAAGGGATTTTTTTTCCCAAGATCCCCCCACCCACTGTCTCAAAATTCCAATTAAGCTTCAAACATGTACATTTCTTTAAATTTTTTGGTCTTACAGAACCCCCCCGCCCCACCCACACCCCGCCCCCGGGAAATTCCAATCCCTTCTGTAAGGGGAGTATGGATATTTTCTGGAACTGCCCACTGTATTACAGAAGTGGGGGCAAATCTGACCTGTGTTTCTTGTGAAACTCATGTACTTTCTGAAGCATCTCATCTGGCTACAGAAATAATCAAGAAAGGTATTTTCATTACTACAGTAGAAACTTTACAAATGTAACTAAAAGGTATATTTAACAGCAGACTGACATCTTACCACCAGAAAATGCAGTACCACTCGCCACAGTGGCTTCATCCTTCAATACACATAATTATACAGTCTTCATTATACAGTTTACATTTTCATAGGGGATATTACACAGCAGCATGCAGATATGAATTTTACTTCCTAGTGGCCAAAAGCATATTATTTTTATGAATGAGCACAGCAAGCAAGTAAAATATTGTTTTAAACACGAGAAAATACAATTCATATCTTCCAGCCACCATATAATTTTCATATTTACACAAACTGACTGTTTGCACAAACAACCGGAAAAATAAAAAATGACATCATTAATATCCTCACTGGTGAGAACACGGAAAATACGCCACGTGAGTCCTGGATGTAGTTTCATATGAATTCTATGAGTGTTCTATTTGCCATTAAAACACCTGACTTTGTCTATGTTAAATGTTCATATCTATAGAATTACTAATGGATAGAAGTATCTTTTGCCATTTGTTGAGAATTTAGTGGTAGTACATATATGTACACTGTGTATATCAAGACAGCATATCCCAATTGATTATTTCTTTTTTATTCTCATCACCTGTCCACTCTGCCTGTTGTCAGAACTGGGAGATATTATTCATTGATCATGTTAAACAATGTATAAGTAGCGGAGCTCCAGCAGCCAAGTGGAGTACCATGACTATAGATAGGAACAGAACCACATGCATGCAAAGAAATAGATAACCATGCAACTCTTTTTTCATGGTCAACATGGCTTTTTCATGGTCAACTTGGATTGCATGTGTGTGCACGCTACGATGAAAAACAACAACAGCATTGTGCAACATGGTGGCCATACTCCAGCTAATAGGTGGAGCGAAGCATGCTGCCTTGGTTTACAGCGCACATCTTTGATATTGGACATCTACTGTATGTTATGGTGAATTGACAGCTGTCAAAACAAGGCATCTCTTGACCAGAATCATTTTTAGGCTAGGCTAAATCGATATAATTATTAAAGGGTAATGAACATTTTTACGGTTTTAGTACCTGTTTAGGACAGAATTTAAACTCTGAAAGATATCCTGCACCTTCTCCATGCTCATCAGGGTCATAGTCTCCAACTTCAGCTACAAAAACAATTTTATAATACATGAGACAGTTTAGACGCAACAAATACAAAGTGTACCAAAAGTAATAGTCTGTACGCGAGTTGTACATTCACATGTTAACTTAAAAGAAAATAATAGTCTGTTGTTCACAATACTTTCGATACTGTATAGTAAATAAATGAATAATAACAAAATATGTTTTTCAGTAGTTGGCAGGTTTTGTTTGGCTCCATTTAAGAGTACAGATCTAAATTGTAGGGCATTGTTCAAAAAGTTGTTATTAACAAACCTTCCCCTTCTCTCTATCTAGCACCTCTGGAAATTGAATTTCAGACAAGACCCTTCTGTCTGTTCTTAAGACATCAAGCCAACGAGCATTTAAGTGGTGATCTACATGTAACCTAAAGATGGTACCCAGTTTTAACAATAATTACAAAATCATTTTTGATTTTGTAAAATAAACTTTCTAAAAATGTGTGAACTGACTTTACCTTGCACAACAAATGAACCAAGAAGAGCATGGATAGGAACAGAGCATTGCAATCTACAAAAAGGGAACATAACTCAAATAACTTCTTTGATGCTCTTTACCATAGGTGTCCAGGCAGCCGGTGGACACCAGTTTTTAAAGAAAATTGTTATATTGTTCACGTTGCCTTATAAATTGTTCATTTAAGCAGACCCTATTGCACATTTTCGACACCCGCTTTTCAAATCCTGGCTAAAAACCTGCTCTTTACATTACTTTACCATCAGGACTGGGACATGAGGTTTATTGGGAAATTAGGTATCATATTCAAGAATGGGCAATTGAAATCTAGTGTTGGTATTTGCTGGCAGTCACAGTACTCATTTAAGGGAGTGTCTGTTCAGTTACAATCATTTTCATAATTCATCTTGGCAATAATAATTTTGCACTGTTCATAAGTACATCTTAAGATGTTTTTCAGTCATGTACAAGATTGTACAGGCCACTCAAACCATTCCAACAAAATAAAATAATAACTAAATATCACATGTACATGTAATTGTAATTATGGCAATAGTGACCCAAGGTCATATTTAAAATTTGTAGCTACTCAACTGTGTCCTATTGGAAATCTGTGGATCTGATTGGTTCTCGCATCGTTTTCTATTCCCTGAT